GGTACCCACCTCAGAAGACAACTTTTTCTCAGTTTCAGACGAGAAAAAGAAGCCAGTATGATCCCGAGAAAAAGACTAAACAAAAAGAGAGAGAGGAAGAAGGCATAAGAACAAAGCAAAGACGAACACCCAAAGAAAGAACTTCAGAAAAACTTACCTGGAGCTTTTCCCCAAAAGAAGTCGAAAGGGTCCCCCAGGCGGCAGTCAGCTCTGACAAACGATGAGTGGCATCGAACTGCTGCAACACATCATCATCCAAGCGCCGAGCACCGGCACCAAGAGGAGCAGAGGGAGAAGCCGCTCGATGCGAGGAAGGCAAGGCCAGGGCCATATCCTGGGAAGCCCCGGCTACCTCCTCAGAAGAACCCACCACCGTGGCCACGGTCACTTCTGGAGCCACCGAGTTAGCAGCAGCGGGTTCATCAGGGAACCCTATCCCCCTCACAGCCACCTCATCGACCGTACATGCCAAGTCCCCAGACTCAGCACACAGAGGCACGTCAGAGGACTGACAAGAGGTCGGCGGAGGGTTAAGGGAAGGTGAGGGTCTGCAAGATGATAAGGAAACTCAGCGATAAGAATATGAGTCAGGAAAAAGGAAAACAGAAGCAAAGAAACATAACAAGGAATCACTCACTCGGCTATCTTCTTCTTCATGAAACCAAAAGAAGACCTTATAGGAGGAACTATGGCAGCAAAAAGATCACCGCCGCTCTACGATAGGAGCGGCGCGGCCGGTACTGGAGCCCCAGAAGAACTCAAGCTCGACAGCAGCTTACTACAAGAGGACAAGACCAAAGTTAGAACAAGAAGAGGTGTTCAACAACAGAAAAAAACATGAAAACAACTCACCGACGCGGGACAAGGGGCGCATCATCATCCTCATCCTCCTCACTCTCAAGCAAAGCAGCCATAGCGCCATCTGAAAAAGGAGAAAAGTACTCGGTTCAAGGCATAAACAAACCACAAAAAGACAAAACATATTAATATGCTCACCTAGGAGCACGCTATCTACAACTGGAGTACCTGGATGAGTACTCGACTGGCAAGACTTCCTAGCAACGGACAAACCAGAAGAAGAACCCTCAGCTCGCCCCCTCTTTCCGACACTACGAGGGCCTCGAGGAACAGGACGAGGAACATACTCCACATATACATCAGAAACCATGGAAGAAACACCAGGAAATATTGCGATGGTTTGAAAATTACTGGTTAAAGAAGCCCCAGTAAGACTATCCCCAGTCCCCACAATGGTAGGGCAGTCACCAAGGGGGATCAGATCAACAAAGTTACGCCCCAATTCCTATAAAAAGAGTAAAACAACCAGACAAGAAAGATTAAGCAAAAGTGGAGACAACAAACGAAATACAAAACGTACCCGCATAAGAAAAAACAACTCACAGCAGGAGGTGGGTTGTTAGCACTATACTCAAGGACAGCAAGCGGGACGACGCTTACTCCTTTCAGCATCTTCTGAAGATGCTCGAGCACCTCCTCATCAATCAACTCAAGGGCAGGGACCATACAAGAAGGGTCCTCCGCCCCAGAGTACTCAAACCCAAAATTCTCCCGCCCCTTCAGAGGCTGAACACGGCGGCGAAGAAAACTAGAGACGATACCAAAGTCGGTCAAGCCCTGCTGCTTTAGAGTACATATCCTCTCAAGAAACGGCTTGATCGCTTGGCTCTCATTCGTCGTCAGGGGGTTCTTTTCTCATCGGTCATTAACCAAGGGACCAGATCTAGAATGAACGGAAAGAGGAGGAATCAAATTGGCGACATAAAACCAGTTGGCATGCCAATCCCTCATAGAATCAACTAGGTCATAGTCAAAGAATTTGCTCTTAAGACCCTGGCGAAACTGAATCCCGCAACAACCAAGAACATTGGTGTCATCGCGGCGGGGTTGTGGCTTCAAACGAAAGAAGTAACGAAACAAAGAAAGAGAAGGAGGAATTCTAAGGAAAGTTTCACAAAGATGAACAAAGATAAAAAGATGAAGGACAGCATTGGGAGCAAGATGATTCAGGCTAATCCAAAAATAACTGAGAAATCGGTGAAGAAAAGCAGAAGCCGGAAGGAAGAGTCCGGCACGGATAAAGGAGACGAAAAGAATAATCTCACTAGGACCTGGAGTAGGGACCCGATGCTCACCTGGAGCTCTCCAATCAACGATATCCTTGCTCTAGATCAGACCATCACTGACAAGCTCGTGCAACCGATCCTCAGTTGTTGTCGGAGCCGGCCAGATCTTCTGAGCGGCCCTCATGGCCATGAATTATTGATTCTCGATCATGGAAAGCGAGGCCTCCTCATCCACAAAGGCTGCCTGGGACTTGCTCGCTGCTTTCTTCCTACCCATATACTAGCGAAAGCAATAAAAGCACTAAGGAAAGGTGATGCTCAAGCGGCGGCGCTCAGATGACGGTGACAATGGTGGCGGCGGAACTTTGAAGATTAGGGTTTCAAGGCAAAAGCAGGGCAGTAAAGAAAAAGAAGATGAAATGCCTTTAAATAGATTTTACAGCAGTAAAACGTGGCCCACCGGGCCCATTTTAACATGGCATGAGGACGCAATGGTCCATTTACTGACACAGCTAAAATGACGGACGGTACAAATCCACACAACGGTACAGTTCAACGGGCAGATTTTAGACTTATCCATCCAGCACCATGGCGGAGTTATCATATTGCTACAAAAAGAACTCATCAACCATGAAGCAGCGAAGGGTTACCCCACAAGGAACATAAGAACCCGGTTCTTATAGAAAGAACTCGGGAATCTCATAAACAACCAGGACTTCAGCAGAAAAAAAGAATGACAACTCAGAAGACAGGATTCTTTCCATTACAAATGGCTTCAAAAAATAGAAGATTACACATCTTATAAGACCCAACCAACTCAGTACTACGACAAACAAGGTAGCAAAGAGGAACCCGGACACAGCTAGGCTATGGAACGACTACGTGTTCCAAATTGCTACTCGGTAGAACAAACTGCACTCGGCTACACTGTTTTCTTCAAAGGATGGGGGCAATGCATCCAAGGCAGAAATCAGCAGCACGGCGGGACAACATAGACCAGGGGAAGCCGGCAGGCATCTGTCTACCCAAGTCCTATGTGATGCTGGATATGGTGTTGATCTGCACCAGACAGTCTCAGGGCAGGCGGCGAGGATCAACCCAGAACTGCTAGATGAAGGAACGTATCCCACATCACAAGACTTCCTCCAGCTACCGCCACGTACTTCCAAGTACAATGCTGCTGCGGGATTAGTCTACCTCTAATCCCTATCACAAGACTCCCTCCAGCTACGATAAGATGTACAAGAACTACAGAATACGCCCAAGGGCTGCTCTACTTCACAAACTATCATATTCATGACTTCGGAGATTTCAGACCACGCAACAAAATGCTCGATGAATCAAAACAGCACACCAGGAGGATATTTATTGATCAAAGAAGCGGTGCACATGGACCGGGAGCACCAACGGAACAAACCTGACAAAGGACACAGTGAAAAGACATAATTCAATGAAAGAGGACTCAGACATGAAGAAACGGTACTCAAGAACGAGCATATTTGGAAGAATATACCAACACTGTACAACTCGTGAACAAACAACATTTACTTTCAATCACCACCATACAACTACATCTGACAACAGCAGACTACCAGAGAAACTGCCAAGACCCTGTACCCGAGTTCTTTTCGAATAAAGGAACCTAGGTATATGCTCGGGGGCTGCAACAGGAGAGGTTTTTAGTCCTTTGAACAACTCAGATTCAAGACCCTCTAACTCTTTGTTCCAAATAGCAAGAGGCTCGGAGCTACACTCAGTGAGTGCACTTTTTTCTTCGAAAAAATGCACATCACTCAGAAGACTTCTTCAAGACAGCAGTTTTCAAAACAACATTACATTCAAGGCCCTCCAACTTTTTGTTCCAAATAGCAAGAGGCTCGGGGGCTACACTCGATGAGTGCACTTTTTTCTCTGAAAAAGCACACATCACCAAGAAGACTTCTTCAAGACAGATCACTTCAAGACCTCACGACAAAAAGAACCTGGACCTAGATAAAGAACCCGGGTATATGCTCAGGAACCCTCAAGAGAAGACCCTCCAGCTCCTTGTGCCAAAAAGCAAGAGGCTCGGGGGCTACACCCAAATGGGAGTACTTTTTTCTTCAAAAAGGTACACATCACGTGAAGATCTCACAAAGCGCTACACGGTTTCGCTCAAGAAAGCACTCGGACGATGCTAGTTCCTGCTCAGCAAGACCTAAAGGAACAAGACGAGGCTTCCAGAGCTCAACCATGAAGTGCTCGGGGGCTTGTCAGTGCGGGACCCATGGGATACCCCGCAAGGAAGGGAGAAGATCTAGTCTAACTAGGATTCTTTCCATGTAATCCTAGTAGTAGTATTATTCTATAATCCTACTAGGAACTCTCATTGTAAACCGACTAGGACTCTGGCCTCCTGACTATATAAAGGAGGGCAGGGTTCCTAGAGACGGGACTAGACGACACAATACTTCACAATCAATCCAACGTAGAGGCTAACGCCGACTGGACGTAGGGCTATTACTTGATCAACGATCGAGGGTCCAAACTAGGCTAAACCGACTGTCTCTTGCGTTTACCGTCGAGTTCTGCATACGCTGAAGCCCGAACAAACTGCCCCGGGTACCCCCGTGGCAGGCTATCGGTGGTGAAACATCGACATGGCCCTCCTCCCTCATCCCCATGTAGGTGGGTCCCATCCTAAAGGTCCACGGCCAGGCCACCATCGCGCGCTGACTATCCGTGTGAACGTCTCCGATGTCTGGCGGCAGGCGCGCGTCCTCCCCGATCCAGTGACCCCAGCGGTCATCCGGGCCACCGCTTCCACTACACACAGAGCTAGGCCGGTGTCGTTCCCTACCATGCTCGGAGCCACCACGCCCTGCCCATAGCACCCGAGCTCTGTCGGGCTCCTATGAGCACCCCAACACCGGTAGCATGAGCTCCCTTGGCGGTATGGTTGAAGTAAGCACCCTTTCTCCTCCCTTCTTGCTGTGCCAAGACGAGAACTAGATGAACCCTAGCTTAATCTATTTGGCAATTTGTATTTCGATCTGATCTAATCACAAGACTATGTACGCATTTTCACTTTGAAAAGGCCTTGTATTTAGTCGTGAGATTGATGTGAATGTCCCATGTTTGATTGTCACAGGATGCTAGGATGGATTGGATCATTCACCTTGATACTGATGAGTTGATTCAGCCAGCTGGTGCCCAAGAGTACTCCCTGAGGCGATTACTTTTAGATCTTCCTGACAATGTTGACATGGTTATCTTCCCCAATTATGTGAGTGACACAAGTAACATGTTTGTTGAATATGGTAACGTGCTTCACATCGATTATTGTATATATTTCTTTTTTCCAGAGAGCAAAGATTGATTGGCGTGATGACATTAAGGATCCTTTCACCGAGGTATAGAAGCTCTCGCTATCTATAACATGTATGCAAAAGAAAGGAAAAATTGGCTCTGTATGCTAATGATGATCCATCGGCTTGCTTGAGAAGCAAAGTGCGACACTGTAGATAACCAGATATCGACTCACTTGTCTAGAAAAACTATAGTTTAGCAAACACCGCACGTAACTACTCATTAATGCATTGATGGAAATAATAGGAATGGTCCGATTATCGTTGTTCGTGTTTGATAGCTTGCATCATTTATCTGATCATATTGTTTTGTGCCTGCAGGTTTCCATGTTTAAGAAAAATTATGATCATCTTCCGAAGGATACATACTTTGGTCTATACAAAGAAGCAACACATGGTAATCCAAACTACTTCCTTACTTATGGTAATGGGAAATCGGCTGCAAGGGTTCAAGAGCATTTGCGTCCAAATGGTGCTCATAGATGGCATAATTACATGAAATCCCCAAAGTAAGATATCTCAATACGTGGAGTTTTTTTGCTAAAACAAATGGTCAGTCAACAAACTACAGTTTCTTTCTACTCGATGGTTTAGTTATATATTTCTTTTGTAGTGAAATCAAATTGGAGGAGGCTCTGCATTACACCTACACAAAGTTCTCAGACCTAACCTCAAGGACGGATAGGTGTGGTTGCAAGCCAACTAAAGAAGATGTGAAGCGATGTTTTATCTTGGAATTTGACCGTTTGGTGAGCTATCTTTTCTTCCCTTTGCTGTATCTGCATAGCATCTATTGTTGTCCTATGGGTACAGGCCACCTTGTCAACATCATAAGCTTTGTTTCTGGTCAAACGTTGAAATAATACATTTATTTCATTTAAGTGATATGATATAAAGAATGAGATGGGGAGAAAAATGGCTAGATGATTTATTATACTATGGAAATGCTTGTGGAAACTATCGTGGGTGGAAACAATCTCAGTTTACAATATATGCATGTATTATCTTTTTAACTAAAAGTGGATGAGTGGATGTAGTTATGTCCTGAATCAGACATGTGGGGTGATGGGGCATTGCACAAGCACAATATTGTACCTTGTTCATGTGCCTTATACTAATCACATAAATGTTTCCCATGGTCCATTCTCCATTGTACAATGTATAGCCAACCATGCCAGAGAACCATATAACTGTCTTTTTACAAAAAAAAAGAAAGGAAACTACTATGACTCTTATTAGGTATCATTGTGCATAGGTAGCTAACTGGATAACTAACTTGGGAGAGCTAATGAATCCTCCCTTGTACTTTGTCATGGCAGGCCTTTATAATTGCATCAACAATGATCGAGCGGAGATGAAGAACCTGTAACACCCTTAGCTTTCGTGTACCAAGCACCAACCATTCCTCCCTATCCTGCCTGAATTAAGAGAGATCACATTGGTCTGACTACCTTTGTTTAGATACCGGGAACATGTTGTATGGACTGATAAAGACACCAATTTGAAACTTTTGAGGAAGGGTGTCTTAACACGTATATATGCGCCCATGGTTAGTCAAGATCTCAATCTTGTAGGTTTTCAGCTCGTGAAAGTTGTTTCTTATTGTTGCTACATTTTATGCCCAATCTTTGCAGGCTATCATCCGTGGCCTCAAGGAATCCGGTGTCTTTACCAATGCAGTAACATCAACGAAAGCACAGTAAAAAATAAAGTCATCAAACATGGGTCTTGAAAACGAGGCCATCCAACTAAATAGAATAGCTGGTCAGTCCACACTGGAAGGTGGCCATGAAAAGTTGCAGGCAACCGTAAAAAAGATCCTGGAAATGGTTGACGCCCAGGAAGAAGCAATGCTGCCAATGTCGCCCCTAGGTTTTTTGGAGCTCTCTGAAAGCGCCACTGCTTTGTCATGACTTTCTAGAGGCATTATTTAGTATTGACTCGGGTTTAACCATGTGTGATGCATGCAACCTTGAGCATACGGATAACATAGGCTTGTTTGGTCGTCGTTGCTATATTATTATCATGTATTTGAATTGTTTTTATTAGTAGGGAAATGGATCTTTTTATTATTAGTGGAGAAATAGCTGAATTGTTTGTGAATTTTTTTAAAAAAGAACTATACTATTTTTTTGTGTGTGAAAATGAAGCGAGAAAAAGGGTAGGCAAGGCAAGAGCGAGTGGGCGACCAATGGGAACTCTAGAATCTACCATGCTCTGGCCCGCTCCGGCCCCTGCTCCCCCACCAACTTCGCCGCTACGCAAAACCCCACCTCTTCCCCTGCCACCGCCACTGCGGCCGCCGCACTTTGCTCTCCCTCCTCCGCCACCGTTCCCTCCCGGTTTCTCCCCTTTGCCCTTCCCCTCCTTTCCCCCGCCATTGCCGCCCCCATGCAGCCTCTGGATGACGCCCCGGTGTAAGGTCGAGATGGCGGACTAGAGGGGGTGAATAGTCATTTCTAAAAATTAATCACGTCGGCTAACCGAAACAAGTGCAGAATTAAACTATCGGTCTAGCCAAAACTACACCCCTCTATTTATGTTCTCTAGCACCTTCCAAAGATACCAATTAAGCAACAAAGGTGCCGGGCTAGCTAGAGCTCACCTAACCAATTCTAGAAGCAAGATCACACAAACCTATGCCACTAGTACTTTAAGCAATAAGGAAGCTCCTACACATGCTAGTAAGCAAAAGCACAAAGCCACCTAAGCTCACTAGCAATGCTCAATAACAAGGCAACCAATGCCAAATTAGAGAGCGCAAATACTTAGCTACACAAACTAAGCAATGTGACTAACAAGGTTACACAAACCAAATTAGCCACGCAAGGGAGCTACTTCTATACTACACAAGCAAGAAGGTAACTAGTAAGCTACACAAGCTAACTAATTACAAGAGCAACTACACAAACACAATATATATGAAATGTAAATACAAGCTTGTGTAACGAGGATGCAAACCAAAGGGAAGAACAAGGTTGACACGGTGATTTTTCTCCCGAGGTTCACGTGCTTGCCAACATGCTAGTCCCCGTTGTGTCGACCGCTCACTTGGTGGTTCGGCGGCTAATTGGCATCAGCCGCCAAGCCCGCACGTCGGGCACCGCAAGAACCCACCCCAAAAGTGAGGGTAGCTCAATGACACGCTCAACTAGAGTTGCTCTTCGCGGCTCCCGCGGGGCGAGCACAATACCCCTCACAAAGCTCTTCTTCGGAGCACCGCACAAGCTTCTTGCGGGCTTCGACGGAGACCACCACCAAGCCGTCTAGGAGGTGGCAACCTCCAAGAGTAACAAGCACCACCAGCTTGCAACTCGATCACCTAGTGCCACTCGATGCAACCTCATGATACAATCGCACTAGAATCGCTCTCTCACACAATCGAATAATCACTATCAAGTAGATATGAGATGGAGGGCTCCCAAGCACCACTACACAAGCCACCAAGGCTCTAGTGTGCTCAGCTTACGGCCCAAGGCCGACCATGGCTTCTATTTATAACCCCACGAACAAATAGAGCCGTTACCCCTTCACTGGGCAAAAGTCGGGCCGACCGGACGCTCCGGTCATGTTGACCGGACGCTGGACCTTAGCATCCAGTCGCCCGATGACAGCCACGTGTCACCTGCTTCAGATACAGTACACCCAATCTCAATGGTCATATGACGACCGGACACAGCTGCTCAAAGTGACCGAACACAGCAACCCCAGCGTCCGGTCGTTTCTAGTAAGGTACTAGTCACGACCGGACGCGTTCGGTCGATCATGATCGGACGCAGCATCAGTGTCCGGTCCTTCTCCACCTTCTCTGCATCGCCTACGTCACCGTACGTCAGCCTGACCAGACACACCCTGCCAGTGTCTAGTCACTTTCAGCGCCAGCGTCCGGTCGAAGACCGACGCCTGCACGCTCTCTGCCGCCACTGACCGGACGCAGGACCCCAGCGTCCAGTCACTACGTGACCAGTGTCCGGTCCACTCTATGAGACCCTGTCTTTTCTATATAGGGCGCTGGTGGAGTTGCCAACCCTTCTTGCCTCCGTTTCATCACCGAGTTGATCCACATCAACTCCAACTTCATCTCCTTTATAAATGTGCCAACACCACCAAGTGTACACCATCATGTGTATGTGTGTTAGCATTTTCATAATCATTTTCCAAAGGATTAGGCACTCAACTTGTCACGCCACTCAATCCTAGCGATGATGCAAAATTAGATCACTCGAGTGGCACTAGATGACCGATATGCAAACAAGTTTGCCCCTCTTGATAGTACGGCCATCTATCCTAAACCCGGTCATCAACTTCTCTACACACCTATGACCGGTGAAATGAAATGCCCTAGGTTATACCTTTGCCTTGTGCATTCCATTTCATCTTCTCCAATGTCGATGCAACACATGCACCAACGTGATCAACAATGATATGATCCACTTCATATCATCATGTGATCATATTGGTTCATCGATCTTGACTTCACTTGCTTTTCACCGTTGCCTTCATCCATCGGCGCCAAGTCTTGCTCAAGCTTCACCGCCACGCGGTCCATCGCTTCAAAGCCTCCGACTTGCCCTTCACGCTTGCAACCAGTCCATCAAGCCAAGTCTTATATTGATCTTCTCCACCTTGATCACATGAGTCAATGTCATGTCTCATGTGCAATAAGCTCCTTCATCATCACATGTGTGAGCTTTACAACATCTCCAAGCCATTTTCACCTTCATGGCATATGTTGCTCACACATATGTACATGTGGACTAATCACATGTGTATCTCACATAAACACAATTAGTCCACCTAGGTTGTCATTCAATTACCAAAACCACACAAGGACCTTTCAATCTTCCCCTTTTTGGTAATTGATGACAACTCTACAAAGATATGGAAATTAAGCTCTTTTGGATTCATGTTGCTTGCCCAAGCAATTTTACCATGTGTAAATGATTTTGAACAAGTACCATAGACCCAAAATGGTAGTATTAACTCCCCCTACGTATGTGCTAGAGTGTTTGTTTTGAAGCTCGCACATATGTATAGATTGAAATTGTGGGAGAGTAATTACTACTAAATGATGCTAAGGTGTATAGAATAAACCTTTGAAGCGTGTACCAATCGGAGTTGCACCTTTAAGTTCATCCTTAGCACCATGGTTAGCTAGATATCACTTAGAAATAAAAGCACTAGATACCTTGTGAGATCAACATTAAAAGCAAGGTACTAGCATTACTTGAAAAGCATACCAAGTGTCTAGCTATCTTCTTATGCATGCTAGTTATCAAATCATCATTCAAGTTCTACAACTAGCATACACCACACAAGCATGCATATTGAATTTGAAAGCTTATGCAATGCAAGCAAGCACATGAATATGCACATATCAAATGCAATCAATCAAAGTTCATGAGCTTGCTCTCCCTACTTGTGTGCTTCTCTTGTCCAAGAATTTTGATCCATCTCTTTTCTTCAATGTTGCTCCCTCTTTGTCCATGTCCATGTCCAATCTCCACTTCTTTGAGCTTTATTATCTTATCTCTCCCCCTTGTACAATCTCAATTTCAAAGCTTTCATATCTTTGTACAATCTCTCCCCCTTTGTCATCAATTTCCATAAAAGGTGAGCTTCTCATTGATGCAAAGGTATACATTTGGGGTAGATGGTTGAGGCTTGAATCTTACATTTTTTTATGGACATCACTTGATTGTTGAAATAACACCACTTGTAGATACCACTTGTAACTTGTACTACTTGTATCTTGTGTAGGGCTTCTTGAGATACCACACATAGGATCTTTGATCTTGATATCAATTTGTGTGACACCTCCTCCTATGTGATAGCATGGGTCATCCATTTGATACTCTTGAGCTCTTGTAGGTGAGGGATGCATTCTTCATTTTATGATCACTTAAAGTTGAGGATCACTTGTGGAACCATCATCTTGCATGATTGATACCATGTGTAGATGTGATACTTGAAAGACTCTTCTAGTATGGAACCACTTGTTGGATTTATTAATAAAAATCATTTCTTGAACATTTGCTATCTTCATGAGTACTACTTATAGGATATCACTTGTGAGTTGATCTAGACATCACTTATAGATTCTTGATGAAATACTTGAGTCTAGATACCACTTGTAACAAATAAACTAGATATCCATTTGCATTGTTGTCTTGTGCTTGTACTCTTATCACTATCATGAGCTTCTATGGTTGACTTGAACTAAATTGATTTGCTTAAGCTTCCAAGTCCGGTTTGAACCAATGACAAGCTTCTTCACACCTCTTGCAAGGGTTATATTGCCAATGTTGTACTTGTCACTTATTAGCAATCCAAATTAAATCAAGTACTTGGGTTTACTTAGCTCATGAACAAATCCATATACTAACCACTAGATCATTTAATCATTCAAGCAATAGTGGTAGGCTATGAAATTAAACGTTTCATTTGTTATGCATGATCCTATGAAGCATGTACTATATGCACTAACCGCATACTAGTAAGGGATGAAATGATTATGCACATTACAATGATACCTTTGCTATGTTGGAGTAGAGGATAGTCACATAGATTCCAATTCATTACTCTAATAGCAATGTGAAGTCCAATTATAAGTTTGATGAAGACCAATAGATACTATTTTGAATTCCATTGTTCACCCATATGAAATGAATACTACTTATGATCAAGTGCACTTTTTTGTTGTGGTTGGCTTGCTTTATCTTTTGATCAATGCTTGCATGAGAGCATCACCGTGAGAATACTACTTGAAATATCATGATTAGCTCTCTTTTGAGTGTTGCTTTTCTTGATCAACCCTTTTGATTGCTTCAACTAAGCATCTTAAATGTTCTTTGATCACCACTTCCATATTAGCTTTCCCAGTACCACACTTGGTTCACCTATACATAGGCGGCAAGCCCCTACACTAGGGAGAAGTGACCTCTCTCCAAGAATCATTCTTGACACTCACTTGAAATAACTTGATTGATTGATCCAAGTGATGGACTTAACTTGATGAGTAACCTTGATTCCTTCTTTAAGTACTTTTTTTCTACTTGTTTAAGTCATTTTCTTTCTACCAAATGATCTCCAATCATCACTTGAACTTAAACTTCATCTTCAACTTGAGTTTGATCTTGATTTTCATCTTGAGTACCAAAAGTGTGCAAAGTACACTTCTCAATCAAATGGCCTTGTACTCTTTGCTTCTCATGCTTCTAGATCATCTCAAAACCAAACTTAGATACCTCAAACACTTGTAACCATATTTCCAACTTGAGAACCTTTCAATCAAAGTGACTCTAGATCAATCCAATATTTGTCACTTTTTTGGTAGATTCTATATCCTTTAAAGAAATATGCATATCTCCCAAGGTATAAATCCAAATACCACAAAATTTGGTTGAGATGTGATTTACTAAGTTATCTAGCATACATAAAAATTTGAGCTTCATTTGACTTCTAGATTGCTACCAGATTTCAATTCTTCCACCACTGCTACATGCTGAAAATTGCTGCACTATAGCTGACAAGAACCATTCCAAAACCGAAGCATTTCTTATCCAATTTTCATGAAATTTTTAAAGAATCTTATACCATAAGTCTAGAGCATGTACACCAATTTTCATGTCAATCTAATAAGTTTTGATTACTCAAACATGGCTAAGTTCACAGCTCACTCAGATTTTCAATATAGGACAGATTTCAATCACTTGAACTATACTTCATCAAATATGAATCAAAATTGAAACTAACTTATTTGAATACTTTCACAAGACATAAACCTATTCAATCCACTTACTAAATGTCATCTTATGAACTTATCCAACCCAAATTAATCCAAACTTGACTACTAATCAATTTATCCATTCAAACATCTCATAGCAAGCAACATTGCATATTTATCTAATTCAATCAACTCATATGCACCCAAATGAAATGGTCAACAAGAGATATACCTTGGTTAGCTCATGATCATCCAATTAGCAAGCTTCAACTCAAATATTTGCAAGCCATCAAATAATCCAATAAATCATCATAACTTGAATATGACACTTGTATGTTGTAGCATATTTGGATTTCACTAATTCTTGGCTTGGCATTGGAATATAATTTGCAATAAGCTTCGATGCTTGATTCAACATATGATGATCAATATGAAAACAATTGAATCAAGCCTCTAATGCCATGGTACCTACACACATTCATCCACTTTTTGATGGTACCCAAACAATTTTGGGTCCTCTCAAGTTAGGAGCAACATACTTAGGCAATGCTTTAGTATGAGTAGCAGGATGTTTTGCAATAGCAACCATAGAGATACCATTATCATTCTTCCTAAGCACATCATGATCATCAATTGAAATGGGCTTAGAAATTTTACCTAGGGGACATGAATGTGCCATGTGTCCCCTTTCTCGACATGAGTAGCACTTTCTCTTTGCTTGAGCCATCTCTTCCTTGCTCATGTGGTGCTTCTCATTGCCTTGCCTCTCATGGATTTCTTGAGCCTTTTTCTTAAGCTTGGTAGGACACTTAGAGGCAAAGTGTCACATACTTTCACACTTGAAGCACTTGATGTGAGCATAGACTTTCTTCTCTTCTTCATTCTTGCTCATCATCTTGGCATCTTAAGTTTGCATTTGATGCCTTGCCTTTGCACCCCTTCTTGTTTTCTTCTTCTTTATTATCAAATCACCACCATCTTTATGGTTGATCTTGATTTGCTCTTGGGGTGTCTTCTCTTGCTCAACTTGTGGCTTTGGTTGAGGCTTCACTTGTTGCTTCATCAATTGATTAGTTGGGCACATTGAGGTAAGATGACCCCAAGTGTGGCACTTGAAGCACTTAACATGCCTTAGCCTCTCTTCTTCTTTCTTCAACTTGAGCATTTCTTCATTGGGGCAAGCATTTGCAAGATGTCCCACTTCATGGCACTTGAAGCACATGAAATGAGAGAGCTTCTCTTGTTCTTGCTTCTTCATTTCTCTTTCATATCTTCTCTTGCCCCATCTTTTGCCCTTGATCTTGTTTTTGTTGAAGCCAATGCCACTTGTGTCATTGTGGCTTTCTTGATGATTTACTTTGCTAGTCTTGAAGACGACTCCACTCTTGTCACCAAAGTTTCTTTGAGTCTTCAACATATGCTCAAAGGTGACTTGAGAGTTGTAGCACCTCTCTAACTTGTTGCTCAATTTCTTCATTTGTTCATTGAGCTCATTGTTCTCTTTCAAAAAGTTAGTTTCACAAGACATAGAACTAGAACAAGCATCTATATGTGAAGAGCATGGCATTTCTAATAAATCATCACAAGAGGTGGATACATGCTTCTTGCCTACATCACAAGGGTTAGCAACAATATGTGATTGATTAATTGACTCATGTGATGAGCTCTCATTATTTTTAAGTTTCTTTATAAACATTTTAATGAGAGAAGCATGTTGTTCTAATAATTCATCATGAGATGCAAGTAGTGTCTCATGATTCAATTTTAGCTCATCATGTGAAGATTTAAAAGCATCAAGTAATTATTTATGTTCTTCACAAGAGTTCTTTAGAAATGAGTTTTCATTTTCCAATTTCAATGTTTTAGCTTTCTCATTTTCTAAAGACATGGTCACACTAGCAAGTCTACTAACAAGCTCATCATATGAAACAACATGATCAACCATATTATCATTTGATACCTTGGTGTCACCTTGTGACATGAGACAATGTGGTGTGGTTGGAGAGCTTGTAGTAGCATCATCATCATGGCTCGAGCATGAACCATCATCACCATCAAGTGTGCATGGGATAGCATCATCATTTGCAACACTTGTGGCATCATCATCAACCTTGTCAAGTGAACTTGTGGTGGATCGATCATCATCATCATCACTTGACCATGAGGTGGAGCAATCTTTCACAATCACCAAATTGTGATCATGCTCGACACACTCATGTGCCTCTTTCTTGGGCTCATCCTCCTTCTTGAATTTGCCATCATCCCATGTGGAGGAATCACCAAAGGTGCGCTTGATGGATTCCCATATCTCACGAGCGGTTCCCGTGTAGTTTACTTGTTTCATCAAATCAAAACTCAAAGCATCCATTAGAAAACAACAAGCATGTGCATCAAGTTTATAGAGAACTTTTTGAGCTTTGGTGAGATTTCTATGATCCAAGACATGAGTGAGACCACTAGTGACAATCCACCAAAATTTAGGTCCCTTTGCACGAAAATGATCAAGCATGTGATTTTTCCAAAGTGCAAAGTTTGTGCCATAAAAATGTGTGTCTCACAAACATCTAGCCCACTAGACGCCATCCTCTTGGGTCGGTGAAGACCACAAATGAGAGACCTAGCTCATGTGTATGTGTGTTAGCATTTTCATAATCATTTTCCAAAGGATTAGCCACTCAACTTGCCACGCCACTCAATCCTAGCGACGATGCAAAATTAGATCACTCGAGTGACACTAGATGACCGATATGCAAACAAGTTTGCCCCTCTTGATAGTACTGCCATCTATCCTAAACCCAGTCATCAACTTCTCTACACACCTATGACCGGTGAAATGAAATGCCCTAGGTTATACCTTTGCCTTGCGCATTCCATTCCATCTTCTCCAATGTCGATGCAACACATGCACCAACATGATCAACAATTATATGATCCACTTCATATCATCATGTGATCATATTGGTTCATCGATCTTGACTTCACTTGCTTTTTGCCGTTGCCTTCATCCATTGGCGCCAAGTCTTGCTCAAGCTTCACCGCCACGCGGTCCATCGCTCCAAAGCCTCCGACTTGCCCTTCACGCTTGCAACCAGTCTATCAAGCCAAGTCTTGTCTTGATCTTCTCCACCTTGATCACATGACTCAATGTCATGTCTCATGTGCAATAAGCTCCTTCATCATCACATGTGTGAGCTTTGCAACATCTCCAAGCCATTTTCACCTTCATGGCATATGTTGCTCACACATATGTACCTGTGGACTAATCACCTGTGTATCTCACATAAACACAATTAGTCCACCTAGGTTGTCATTCAATTACCAAAACCACACAAGGACCTTTCACCCGGCCTGGCCCCCGGCCTCCGCGGCGCCAGCGCGCGTGTTCCTTACCCCAGGAGGTACCCGGGCAGCGAACGGAGAGCAATTCATCGAGCACCTGGCGCCCGGGTGCGGGGTTCCGGTGACCGTGACCCGCGGCGAGCACGACGTGGACGACCTCACGGGCGTCCCCGCTGGAGCTCCTCCCGCCGAAGAAGAGGGTCGTCCGGTACCACCCGTACGCGGCGGCCGCGGCGATCCAGGAGATGGCCAGCCACTTCCACAACATCAACGGAGGAGGGTTTCTTCTCGGCGCGTCGGAGCCGCCCATGCCCATGGGGACGGGATCGGGGCGCGGGCGTCGGGATATGGAGGTTGACATGTCGGCGGTGGAGGAGCGAGGCCAGGACGGGCTACGTGCGGAGCTGCTCCGCCTCCACATCTCGCGCTCGGTGGTGGTGCTCACCAAGCAGCTGACCCCATCGGACCGCAGCCGCGACAAGGCGCGCCTCGTGCTCCCAGACCGCCTGGTGGCGCTGTCGCGGCTGCCGCGCATGCCGACGGCGGTGGAGCGAGGCCTCGTGCTGGGTGCCGGGCTGCTTGTGTCGGCGCTCGACCGCCTCGACCCCGCGTACCGCATGTCGCTGTGGCGCGATCCCAGGGCCCACATGTATCGCCTCGCGAGGCAGTGGTCGCTCTTCGTGTCGTGCCACGGCGCGCACGCCGGCGACGTCGTGGAGGTGCACGCCTTCCGCTCGCCCGCCTGGTAGGCATGCCTCGACAAGCACGGCGAGGGCAGGCCGGGCATGGCGCTGCTGCATCACCTTCGCGGTCCGAGTGGCGGTGAGGCAGCGGGGAGTGACATCAGGCAGGGCTACTACTGGTGCAGCTGGGAGCGCGACGCAACCGACGGCCTCTTGCTGATTGCCGCTGGAGCCTGATCAGGTGGATCGGAGTTGCAGTGCAAGGAGGTAGGAAGTGGTGACTGGTGACTGGTGACTCGAGACAAGAATGAATGCATTGTGACGAAGTGTTGATGATCATCATACCACTTGCTGCCTGCAATGGCGTATCAATCATCAAATGCTCTCGGTGGGTTTCTTCTTTCTTGTGAGTTGTGATGGCAACTGCATCTTCGGAGGGTTTTGTGAAGCTTTGATCATGCAGGTTTACTTAGTCGAGGTAGATAACTGGAGTAGATGATGGATGATTAACTTATGTAGCTCACTAGGTAGCATGCCCGTGCGTCGCTATGAGACAACTAAACTTTTGTACTAAAAATACACGGATCGCACGATAAGATAACAATATTATAAGACATTAAACTGACATTTAATTCAAAAAAGCAAAGTTTATGAAATTAACAGTCACTAAGAGCACGACACCGCAGGCTCACAAACTCTACTATATAGACATTTCCGTGATACGGCTAAAATAATGTTTTATATCGGCAAGAAGTCTCTGATATTACAAACTAAATGAAGCAATCAAATATGTCAGACAAACATTGCTTAATCCACATAGTTTGAACCTGTTTGACCAATAAAAATGCACAATATGATTATTATATTAAACTAAATTCATGTCCATCATCTATTCAAAGTGCATGTCACAAGCGTGTAAATAATTTCAATATTATTTAGTTGTCTAAATCTATGAGATGCGACACGGTGTCCTTAGCAAATTCTTGAACTCGGCTACGTCTGGCTTCATCAACAAGCAGACGATTGCGTAGGCCTATAAACAAATTAGTATAGTTTCCGTGCTAACGCCACACTTTTATTTCAGGGATGCACATGAAAATAACCAAAAAACGATATTTTTTCATATAGTTTAAGTTGCACGCAATTATATAAGATCATGTATGTAATCCGGAAAACACTCATACAAAGGTACTCGCCGCCCAGCTTTTGGAAACTACATCATACAAAAGTACTATTTGTTGCTAATTGAGTCATTCATGCAACTATACTAATTGACAACAGTCTTGACCTCCTTGATTCTTACTTTCAATTTATCCAATTTGAAGAAATAGCCCTTGAAACTTGCAGGGAAATATTTAAGTAGCTTCTTACGCTCAAGTTCCCCAATTTGCTGACAAGCCATTATTTGTATTCTCCTCCACTTACTTTTTTCTCACCATATTCAGTAGCATCTTGAAGTTAATGTGAACATATTCAAAGATATTTGAAAGAGAAATTTACCATAGAACAGAAATTACAAATCATGAATACTTCAAGGCAATTACCTCAAAATTATTTAAGCTAAGTGACACATCTTAATATTAGTCCTTAAGGCTAATCCAAAGTTCTTGGAAGTCCTGGAAAGGAAATATTTATAAAAAAGAACTACATCCTGTTATGAACAGCAGATGCTTTTAGAAGCTTTTAGAATGCAGAGGTGATCCTTACATAGATGGGTAACTAACGTAGAGTCACTATAGCTTGCAATAATAATACCTATGATTTAACTATTTTTATATATCGTTGATCGTGAATCTTGCCACAGACACTTAAGTGGATATCTTATTCTGCAGTATATGTCCGCGTGGAATAGACCAAAAGCTACACATATTTATATGGTGAGTATAACACTTTGTTTTAAGTTTTTGTGGAAGATTTTTCTAAGAGACGCAGTATTACCCATGCGACAGGCACTAATATTGACATATATATTCGAAGTATGTGTACAGGATGGTATGGAGATGCAACGAAACTTATTCGTGTATTTATTGGCGCACGAAAGAAATGGATATCAGAGATTTCTTCCTGCCGATATAAAACATTATCTTAGGCGCATCATAGAAATGTCTATAAAGTAGAGTTTGTAAGCCTATGACGTCGCGCTCTCCGTGACTGTTAATTTCACAAACTTTGTTTTTTGCATTAACTGTAACTTTAACGTTGGTATTTAATTTTATAGTATTGTTATCTTATCGTGCGATCCATGTGTTTTTAGTACAAAAGTTTAGTTGTTCCGTAGCAACGCACGGAAACACTACCTAGTAACTATCTAAGTTACATTATGCCTAAGTCATTAATCATAACTTGGAGATCTTTAGGGAAGTTGTCAAAACATTCGTTTGCACGGCTCTTCAAAATATCCGCCAAGAATTTCATCCTTAGTGAAGTTGATAGCTGTACATGGCAGATAATAAGCTAAATTATTAATTTCCTCGTCGTAACAGCTCCTGACACCTGTCATTCATAAATCGTACCCATCAGTAAAACTTGCAAAGAGCAAGCAATGGTAGCGGCGATCCTGGTGCTGCAGGCCAGGCATCCAGCAGGCGCCCGCCTCCACCATAAATCAAGTAGTGTAGTCCTAAAAATTATGGACCAGTCTAAAAATCGTTTTTCAGTAGTGTATAATGATGAGATTAGTATTAGCAATTGTTTATAGCTAAACTCTAAGACAAATAATAGTATATTACCCGTGCTAACGCTACGGACCATATTTTCGAATGTTCGAGATTTCAAGCAAAGATATAATTATTCTTGAGATTAATACACTGGAGCTGTTCGTTGATGGCTCGATGTTGCATTGTTAACAAACAATAATCTGAGTATTGCTTCTTTTTAATTTATTTATGAAGTAAAAGAGATTGGTTGCACCTTAAATTGTATGGAGGTCATAGCTGATGCAATCTTCAACTTCTTTATGGTTGAAATCAATTTGCTGGTATTTCTAGACAGGAATAACCCCTGAAATTTTTGAAAAATCAAAACATTTGGAGGGACAATTGTTGAAAGTGAGATGAAGATGAGCACATACTAAATCAGGGAAGAAGTACATCACATACCATGCAGGCTTACCAAAGTTTTTATTTTGGAGATGCAATCCATCCGATTTCCCAAGGATAATGACTGAACTCCAAACTTGAGTAGGTTAGATAGAACAAAGGATTAAGGATAAGTGTATCACAATCACAATATATACATAAATTGATTGATGTAAAAGAAATGCACTGCATCCTTTTCAAACAGGAAACTCTAGGAAGCACTGCATCAGCATATATTCATTCAATAACCACCGCCATAAATCGTGCACCAAAATATGACACCCAAAAAAGAGCTAGCAGAGAAGCACATCTTAGCTAGATAACAACAGTGTGGCCCTCTACTCAAAGCAACAAACAAAATCCATTCTAAAGAAATGACAAAAGAGTGCAGTGCAATTGGACAGGCCAGAGAAAATAAAATTGTGAAATTTCATGCTAGTGCAACAGTACTAATCCTATATGCAAGAAAGTGGCAAAACTCAAATAGTATTATCCTGTAGGGTATTTAGATTGGTAATGCTTTTTTTTCTTTTCCATCTAGTAAAACTCAAATATAATTAATCTTTAGTCTCCCTTCTCATTGAATTGATTAGGCAGAGCTCCTGCCCTAAGTCTAAAAACATAAATTATTCTTTGCCTAATTTTTTAAAAACAATAAATCTTGGCACCTGGAAAAATATAATTTGGTGATGTAGCATTCAATGATTTTGATAGCAAATGGCTCGACACTACATCTACCGGAGACAAAAAAAAAGGAGCTCCTAAAGCGATGTCAAACAAAGAACAGAGGATGAGGAAGCTCTACTGCTCTCCATGTCAGCAATGGCTTAATAATTGAATATTATAAGGGGATCTAAATTTGGCTTGCATCATTTAAGGACGCACATTAGAAAACCTACACCAAACATTATACTCTTAAACTAAAATATGTGTAACTCTCGCATATGGATGAAGAATGGAAAAAGAAAATACTGGCTCCACTTTGTCCATAGTGCTATGTTGAAGTCCTAGCTCTTTCTTTGTTACCATCTTGCACATAGAGAAGAGAAAAGAATACTCACTGCCATGTCCTAGTAATTTGTGAACACAGTAAACCCTGTAAACCCAGTATGTGCAGAGCTTCCTCCACATGAGCTTTGTCAGAATTTGTGAATACCTGCAGTAACCAAATGTAGGTTGATACAAATGCTCTCCATGACCATTTTTTTGAAACATATCATTTCAGAATACAGCAAGAAAACAGAAAAAACTGGTTGCTTTTCATACTATTTTTCTCTGTGGAATTGAAAGTAGGAGGGTCCTCAAAACAGGGTCAGGCCTCAGATTGTGATATGGCATGGTACCATGAACAGTTGCATGAAACTCACCATTATCAAATTCGTAGTCTAATGATTGACAACCTATGACAGAAACATGGAAGTGACGAAATATGGTAATCCTCTCTGTTGTTGATAGGGTCCGTCATAGCTATACCTCCGATTTTACAAAATTCGTTATATTCAATATATTTGATGTAATTGATGCATGGGTATATCGACCTTGAGAAGCATCCTAGAAATGCAGATTAGATTGTAACTAATTCCCCTGGTGATGACACACTGAAAGGGCAAAGTATAATATCATTAGTTAATCAATGCAGATTAGACAACTAGATCACATCTAAAGGGCATCATTAGAACATTAGTACTTCATCAATGCATATTATAGACTATAGGCGCACAACAATTTGTTGAAGAGTCGGTTCTGCTTTTCCCAAATGTAAATATAAGCTCGTATCCAGCTACATTTGGTGAAGGAAGCCAAACTTGAAGTAACTTTTAAAAGAGCGGACCAGACATTGTACAATCATGGGATGGAATTTGGCAAGCTGGTTACAGATACAAGGAGTGTGTGGTCAAAGTGCCACAAGCATCCACTCACAAATGTAACACGGTTTCTTTTTGGAGCTTAAATTGCACGAATCAAAGAATTATGTTGTTGCCAGGTACC